TTTGAAAAAAAGTACCCTGCAAGGATCCGACTTAATCGATCATCACTGTTGAACTATGTTCGCCTCACAGCGTTAAAAACCACGCGAATGAAACTCGCCAGTCCTTCCACCACCCTTGAAGCCAAGAGGGGCTGGCAGGGGTAGGATGGGACCACTGCATCCCCGCTGAACACAGCCAACGTTTTTAATGGAATATATCTTGAAAAAAATGAGAAATTTCAGGTTTGCCTCATTGGTTTTGATGAGTAAACAATGACTGAATTTTATCACACACTTGCACGTTCAAAGCTGCCATTGAAATTGTCACGTTTAGACAGTCTCCTAAAGACTGTCTCTACCAGAGGGCAAAGTCCCCTCCCCCCCCCTCTATATAGCACCGAGCGGGCCCTCGAGTACGTGTTTTTTAAAAAGAAAAATTCGATGGTTCTATTTTTTTAAAGTAAATGGGTGACTCTCTGTAACAGTGCAGGGCAGGCAGAACGGAGCAGGCGAGCGAGCTCTGGCGGGCGAGCAACCTGCGGCTGGGTGGGCCGGCCCCCCCGGGCCCCGCGTGGGGCGGGGTCGGCCTGCAGGGAGAGCCAGGAGAGGAACTTAATTGACTTTGTGGCCGGTTCCCTTCCTCATTAGGTCAGCACACTTGAATTGAGGAGAGTGAGAAGGAGAGAGTGAGTAGAGTAGCAGGAGACGGGGTGGGGAGATGGGAGAAAGGAGAGAGGAGGGATGGGGGACGAGGATCAGAGAGAACGGGGGGTAAAGGTCTCCTGCGGCCAGCAGGTAGGGTAAAAAGAGCGGCCAAAGGCGTTTAGTCCAACGGCATTCGCGGGCAGGAGAGGAAGAGGAGGGGGGAGGGGAGGTAGTCCGAGCAGTGATAGGGTGGATAGGGCAGGCAGGGCGTGCGATGGTGTGACTAGTTCTAGGTGTAACGGAGGCGTTGCACAGCGGGGCAGAGGCGCCCGCCACAGCGATGATGGTGGCCCTGATCGCGGGATGGGGCGGGGTGAGGTGAGGCGGGGCGGGGAGGAGCGGAGCGGAGCTATGCAGGCCCGGTAGCGCGCGATAGCAATCGGGATGATGAGTCCAGGGACATGAAGGTAAACATGGTGGTGGTCTCTCACTGCCCAGCGCTCTGCCTGTCTCCCCCCTCCTCTCTCCTGCTCAACGCCGCGTCGCCCCGGCCGCGCTACGCCCCGCCACGCCCGGCCCAGCATTGGGACCGCGAATCAATAAATGATGACGTCACTCACTGAGGGGGAGGCTGCCACCCTCGCACGTCGTGCAGACGGGAGGGGGCGCCGGGGCCGGGCGGGCAGCCGGGCTTACCGCCGTGCACAAATCCGAAGGTGGAGAGGAGGAGGAGGAGGAGGAGGGGAGGGGAGGGTGGTTGGAGATAGAAGCGGGAGGGACTGAGAGAAAGGAGAGGGGAGGGGAAGGGGGGGTGCACCGACAGAGAAGTATACAGAAAGCGGTGATGAAAATGGCTGAAAGGGATCCGCGAAGGGAACTGCTGGGTTATGGGGTATTGGAGGCACCCGCGTGGCGCCGTGGCGTCGCGGTGGGGCCGGGAAGGCAGGTGGGGGACCGGGGGCGGGGCATCTCGCCGAGGCCGACCGAACACTAGCTCGGAAAAACGGAAAAGAGAACTACACAGTACTTTTAGTATCTAGATTAGATACTGTGATTAGTTTTGAGAGCCAAGCCGTTCTCAAAATGTCGGGCTCCTCACAAACTTTGACCATAAAGGAAACTATGGAAACACTTTATTGAGGACTCAAACGGTCGACTAAACTTTTACATTGTAAGACATTCTTTGCAACGTTGAGAAGCATTTCTGATCATTGTAGTTCTAAGATGTGGTTGGTATTGATTTTTACAGATTCTTTGCAGGGAGCCAGAATTGTTTCAAACAATCAATTTGTTTGATTTCCAAAGAAGTAAAAAGCTTGGAAGCTTACGAAGGACTAGTTCGTTACTGCAGTTCGTTAATGCATTCATTGCTTTAAATTGCATTTAAAATTATTTGCAAAACAAACTTCTT